CTTGGTTATAAAATGCAACGAACACATAATGTGACTCATCCTTGTGTCTTAAGAACTTTACCCATATCCATCTGTTATAGTCATCTATAATCACTAACTCATACTTCTTGCCACTAACAGACGCAGTTTTTACTGGTCCAAGTAAGTCTATGTGCAGAAGTTCTAATGGCTTAGAGGTGGAAACAACATTTTTAAATTTAAAAGCAGGTTTTACAAATTTTCCTTTCTGACATGCTTCACACAGAGCATCTAGGCTGAACTTCATATTAGGAAGTCCTCTGACCAGATTGAGTTTGTTAATCTGAGATATTCTTCTCATACTAACATGCCCCAATCTTCTGTGCCAGACCCATTGCTCGTTGTTAACAGAGAGAAGACATTTTACATGCTGACTCTTTAGTTCATAAAGTTTTATCTTATAAATGTTGTTTTTCCTATTTCCATTAAAAAGGATAGTTCCATCTTTCTGACTAACAGCTTTGCATGAATTTTGATTAAAGATTATATCATAACCATTATCACTTAATTGACTTATGGATAACAGGTTATGCATTAATCCATCAACTAAAAGCACATTATTTATAGAAGGAAGATTACCATTACCTACTGTTCCAGAGCCAATGATCTTCCCTCTTTGGTTGCCTCCAAAGCCCACGTAGCCTCCAGGTTTAAGTTTCAGGCTTTGGAACATATGCTTTCTTCCCGTCATGTGTCGAGAGTGTCCAGAGTCCAGGTACCATGACTGGTGTTTTAGCCTTGCTGCTAAAGATATCTGCTACATATATAATTTTGTCCTTAGGTACCCATATCTTTTTGGGTCCTGGTTCGTTAGTTTTACTAAAATTCTGGTTGAATTTTGGTTTGACAAAGTAATCATTACTAGTGTATTTTAGGTCGTGTGTATGCCCATATGTGAAGTGTGATTTTAGTGGTGTGCGTTTTATGACAAGGTCCATGACTTTCTTACGTGAAGATACCTTACCCTGATATCCTATTCCTTTTCTTCCATTCCTGCTAACTCCATAGATCATTGAAGCCATCTTGCTTCTATCTATGTTTTTAGCCCGAAACTTCTGAAAGACGTGATCATACTCTTTGATGATCTTATCAACATTACTGGGAGTCTCTGAGATTATTTCTTTCTGAGAGTTTTGTAAATCATTTTCTAATTTTGAAATCTTTTCTTTTAACTCAGAATTCTCTAATCTAAGACTCTCAGTCTTTTCAGATTCAGAGATAAAATCCCTTTTCAGGTTCTTGAATTTGACTCTGATTTGCTGATACCTTTCTATAATTTCATTCAGACTTTCTGAAATTTCAGCCTTAGTAAAATTAATAGTGAAATCAGGGAATACCTCTTCTGTATCTGATTCTGAGTCTGAACCAGAAGCTTCACTGTCTTCTACCACATTCGCCATGAGAGCTATGTTGGCTCTTTCATCATCTGACTATGAGTCAGCATCAGAGGTGTTTGAATCGTCCCATGTTGTCATGAGGCTTTTCTTCTTCTCCTTGAAGAACTTATTTTTGGGCTTCTCCTTCTGAAGCCTTAGACAGACACTTTTGTAGTGCCCTTGCTCAATACACTCATAACAGATGATGTCCTTGTTATTTGACTTTCTGTGTCCTGAGGAACCTTCAGATCTTCTGTGTTTAGAGGAGGACTCAGACTTTCTGTATCTGTAGGAGGATTCATTTTGATTCTCTGATCTTCTCGGGTTTCTGAATTTCCTTTGTCTCTACTTCCGCAGTTGATTGACCCTTCTGGAGAGAAGAGACAATTCATCTTCTTCTGATGAGGATCCATCAGAGGTTTCTTCCATAGCCTACAAAACCTTAGAATCAATTTTTTTTGTTAGATTTTAATGCTAGAGGCTTACCTTGCTTTTGAGGCTCATCTTCTTCTAGCTCTATCTCGTGACTTCTGAGGGAGCTGACAAGTTCCTCCAGAGATATCTTGTTGAGATCTTTAGCTAGCTTAAGTGCAGTGACCATTGGCCTCCATTGCTTGGGTAGACTTCTGATGATCTTCTTTACGTGATCAGCAGGAGAATATCCTTTGTCAAGAACCTTTAGCCCAACAACAAGAATCTGGAATCTTGAGAACATTGCTTCTATGGATTCACTGTCTTCCATCTTGAATGCTTCATATTTCTGAATGAGCGCAAGGGCCTTGGTTTCTTTGATTTGTATGTTGCCTTCATGCATCATTCTCAGAGAGTCAAACATATTTTTGGATGTCTCTCTGTTTGATATTTTCTCATATTCTAAGTATGAGATAACACTGAGAAGTATTGTTCTGGCTTTATGATGGTTTCTAAAATCACGTTTTTGCTGGTCAGACATCCTTTTTTTGTCTATCTTTTGACCACTTTCATCCACTGGATGTGTGTATCCATCAATTACCATGTCCCATAGATCAGCATCATGAGCTAGAAAGAAGCTCGCAATTCTGTCTTTCTAGTAGTCAAAATTTTCTCCATCAAAGACTGGAGGTTTGCCGCTGATTCTGTCCTTGTCCTCATGATAGTCATTGTTGATGTTTTGGCTTGGTCCCACCATAGTGTTTTTCTAAAGCTTGGATCTTGTACTGACATGGTTAAGTGTATGAACTCATAACCAGGCGCTCTGATGCCAATTGAAGAAGTGAAAAACACGAGAAGGGGGGGGGGGGGGGGGTTGGTGGTTAAATTGAAACTTAAAATCAAAAGCGCAGTAGACACGATATTTTTATCCTGGTTCGTTTGATCTCAAACTACTCCAGTCCACCCGCCAAAGTGATTTCGCCTCTCTCCAACGAGGACTTAATTCAATAATCAAAAACTGATTACAACACTACTTTGACAATTGCCAAAGTCTTCTTGAGTACAACCACAACCCGATTAATCTCAAGGAAAACTAGCTTAATTAAGATAAAAGACTATATTGTATATTGTTGTTTTTCCTTACAAAAACTGTATCACAACTGTGATATTTTACACAATTTTGAGCGTATATATGAATATGTAAGATTGTAACATTTTAGAGTATGTTGCAGTAGTATCAAAATCGTAAACGATTTGTCCTCTAAGCTTGTTTATATAGGCATGAAAATCTTGTCCAACATAAAGCGTGATAATGGACATTCAATGATGTTTCCATATTGAGAAGATTCTTGTCTGAATGAAGTCGTTGCATATGATACTGTCTTGATTGAATATTAACGCTTCAGAACTTAGAATCTTGCATGCTACAATTGCTTCAGAATATTAACGACTCAGAGATGTGAGGATCTGATGGTATATGAACCTTCTGTTCAGAATCAGAGTATTCTTCACTTCAGCGCAGGTTCTGATCATCATTCTTCAGCGCAGATTCTGATTACCTCAGCTTGAAAGCTTCTGTAGCTTAATTTTTGATGTTGTTTCGGTCAGAACTTCTGCATACAAAATAACACAAATTTAGAGTGCATATTTGTTCTTTTTGTTTGTTATCATCAAAACTCTAATTAAGGGTTATAGAATCAAACTATGTTCTAACATCTCTCTCTCTCCATTTTCTCTTTCTCATACTTTTTCATTTTCTTTTTCTCCTCGTCTTTTCTCTTTCTCATCCTTCATCTTCTTTCTCTTACATTACAATTCCACACATCCAGTTTCAGGTTTATCAATCAACAATGGCGGTGTAAGTTTACGTTGTAGAAGCAGAAAACGATGACAAAGTCCAATCTGACGTCCTCTCTAAAGCCAAAGAATCATGCTACAAAATAACTCTATTTCTCTTCGATTGGTTTCTATGATTTACGCTTTATCATTATCTTTGTTCTGATATATTGATTTTTCTTTGCATACTTTCTTCTCGTGCCTTAAAAAAGGATGTGAGAAGAAACCAACCGAGATTGCATCTGTAGGTTTTCTTTATCCAATTGAATGAAAGAAATCCATAAATCAGTTTGTAAATCATTGTTGATCTTCTTAGGTAAGGGAAACCCTAACCTAATCCCATTTCAAACCTTTTTCTGTTCTAATCTCGCAATTGTAAAAATTGATGCCTTTTCTAATTGGGTATGTTAATTAATCATATGTGGCATGTGAAGCATTTCGATAAATAATCCAGCAGGAACAAAAGGGATCAAAGACTTTTGGATGATAAAGGCGCTAGGAGAGGTCTGCTGTTGCTTCCACAACCTTGCACTTTGAAATCCACTCCTTGATTTTCATGAACCATTCATTCATCTAGCAGATTTTAGACATTGAACAAATGATTAGTTTGTTATTTGATAGTACTATTTTATATTCTTAGGGTATGATAAGGCTGAAATTCACATATATGAAACTTCGTTAATGATATTGAACTTCGTTAATGTTCTAACTGATTGTGTTTGTTATATATGCAAACAATACTTTGTGGCTCCTGTCAACTATTTCCAGAACTTATTTTATGAACTGATTTTACATTTTCACTGATTTTACAATGTTCTACCTGATTTTACAATTTCCAGAACAATTTCCAAATTTACAAATCTGCCTTTCTGCTTCAAATTTGCTACTCTTATGCGGTTAGCATCTCAGTTTCCCTTTCTTTTAGCGAAATCATAATTTTTCGGTCATTTCAATCAATTATTATATTTTATATTTAAGTTTACCTCTATCTCTTTGTAAAATTCTTATCATGATCTGAAACTGTAAGTTGTTTCACAGTAGGTAGTAAGGAAATCACAATGCTCTTAGATTATGGCAACAATACCGATTGGACTGCAGAGGAAGGATTAAGGTAAGCTTACCCACAGAAGTTTCCCCTGGACTCAATCCATCAGTCACAAACTTATGAATTACGTACCTGCATTGTGATTTCTTTAGGGTTTATCTTGAATTTGAAATATTTGTTGAATATCAAACATGTTTTAAATGCAGGTGGCATAAACACGTCTTCACGTTTCTGCAGGTAACAATATGGGTGAGATAGTTAAATTTCTTCTTCAGTGGCAAGGATCAGAGAGATTTGAAATAGCGGCTAATAATATGGTTGGTGCCATCAATTTTTCTATTCAAAATAATTGTTAGAATATTCATATGCATGATCTAAAGTTCTGGTTATTTTTGTAATTGTCTAAGCTTTTCTTTCTGTCACTTCTGCGGTATGGAGAAACTCCATTGCACATGGCAGCAACCATTTATGGCATGATGCATTTACATCATTGGTTCTATAATATTGATTTACATTTCATGGAGTTTGAGTACGAGAAAACAATGCTCTTGTGGGAAGTTTTACAGACACATTATCCTCGGAACAACTACACCTCTATGTATGTGTTGCTGTCTTAAAATGATATCGTAGTAAAATAATGGTGGAGATAATGGACTTTGACAGCCTTTTGAAAGTTTAATTATTGTCTGCACTGCATTCCGCGGTCTTGAAACTCTATATCAATAAGGTTTTCGTCTCAATATCTCCATAATTTCTTCATATAAATATGTTATGTTATAAATTTTATAAACTGTTTGATAAGAAATCTGCTTTTAAGGACTGGGATAATAAAGAAGGGCTTCAATGCCTTTCGTTGTTGATGTTTCAGGTATCCAACTGATGCTTTCATGAGAGACAAAATTTAGTATGTATTGGTTTGGCATCACTCTAATTTACGATATTGAGCAGGTATTTTACGCATCTTAATCCAAGAAATTTCTGGTTGGTACTGCTCTGCCTTCATTGGAACGAGGTCATTTGTTGTCTGATGCCTAGAACTTGGTTAGGTTCTTAGTTGCCAATCTATTAATAATTATTTTTGTTCTTCAAATATGTATTAGCTGACCCCTAATATACTCAATGCATAATGAAAGAGAAAGTGATAACTTTACTTGCCTTGAAAATTAAATGCAAGTAACTGATATATGGAAGCATATATACTATGACTAAAAAGGAAGCATGTAAAGTGAACAGTGATAATTTTTGGAAATAGATGCCTACATTTATTTACATTTCGTTATAAGTTAGATAGTTGGATACATATAAATTGAATTAAGCTAGAACAACTGCAGTCTATTTCAATAAACCCTTTTTTTGTTTGCAGTCTAATGAACTCGTGATAGATTTTCTAATGCAACAACCAAAGCTTTTTGATGGCTACAAGTTCTATTTCATTGGAGGTTTCATCCCATCATACAAAGGCTATATGCAAGACCTTATGATTGCTGCTGGAGGGATAATTCTTCATAGAAAACTTGTATCAGATGACCAAAATTCAGTGCCACGTCATATGTGTCCACAAGTACATTGCAACAATGCATATATTTATCATCTTCCAGCACATAAAAATTTTCCTCTGTAAGTGTTAAGAAGAGCCCATTTGAGAATAATGTTCGATCTATATATGATTTACAAGTTGGTGACAGTTTTGACAATAATTTTATCGGGTATTTATTTCATATATCAACACACCTTGTACTTTCGAACATATGATATGTTTCATGTGAATTGTATCTTCCAAGTTCCATCCATGTGATTCTTAAATAGCAAAATATACTAATGAAAGTGAACTTGGTCACCTTACAGGACTGCCAACTGAAATTTTTGAGGACATTACACATACTGTTATGAAATGCCATAAACTGGTGAGTTCAAATAGCACCATAGGGATCCATTGAATTTATTTGCAACATATTGTTCTACTTGAATTCTATATGCATTGCCTAAGGATTTCTTTAGAACATCACTCTTTTCAAATGTTTTAATCCTTACCATATGTTAGTTGTTAACATACATGCATATATGACATTAAAAGTGTCATGGCAGATACTTATTCAATTGTTCTACTTGATATTTTTTGTTGCTGTTGTAATTTTATTAGTCATTTATTTGATTGGTTATGATTTACTGATTTAATTGAACTTTTCATATCAAAAGTGTATACAAATTAAACCTGTGTTTCTTTTCATGATAATAGATATTAGGTTATGTCCAAGTGTTCAAGATGGATCATAAACATGTATATATAATTGAACTTTCCACATCGAAAGTACTCATCCTAGAAGAATATATGTTATATTGTTTCTGAAAGAGTTGCGGCATCCATGATCTATTTTGTTAACATGCTTCTGTAATGTTTATTCTTACTTCAAATTTTTGTCGAGCCATTGTTTCTATTAAATACTGCAGCTAAAATCATTGCATTCTTGTCTGGTCTTCCTAATTATGTAGCTGGAATATTGGGCACAAGAAGATATGGTGAGCAATATGCAAGCAAAAATGAGGATGTGAATTGTGTCTTACGATTGAGATCCCCAACTGAATTTAAATCTGAAAATGATGTAAGTGTGTGGTATGGGATGAATTTGTAATTCTTAACTTTTGCATCTTATTATAATATATACAATAACTTATTATTGTATTGCAGTATGGTTACTTCTTTCCAAATCCATGGTGTATATTTTAACAGGTGTTTGTTATTTTTTTTAATGTGATCCATAGTAGTCTTAGGCTTGGTTTAGATGTTACATTGTCAGTGGAGTAACCACATATAGTATAGTGCATATTTGATTTTGATCCTTGCTCTGAAATTAAATATGCTACATGTGGTGGCGACTTCTCTGTCTGGTTATTTTTAGTTGAAGGAACTTCTATAATGTATGGTTTCTGAAACAATCTGAGAACAATTTGGACATGCTCCCAATAAAAAACAAGATCCCTGGTCTAACACATAGCCTTCAACTACAATAAAAAATTAAAAATAATATCAATTTAAAATTTACAACATTACTAGCATATTATATAATAATTCTATTGAAAATATAATAATATTTAGGTTTAAAACTAATTTGTTACTGTAATAACCGACTGAAAATATAGAGTCGCCACCATTAGTTTTTATTCTAAAGATGAGGATATAATATATAACCCTAATTTAATCAGAGTTTTTAAGTTGTTGATTTGCTTTAGACGAATGGAATGTGTTAGACACCCCTCATCTACCTTGTTCACAAGGATACTAGGGTTTAAGTTTATGATTTAGGAATATGGTTTTAATTTTAGTTAGGGGGAACTCGCCACGATTTTTAAGTAGTATGCCTATGTATCCTCTTATGAGGAATCATAGTCTCAACTCGTAGTTCGTAGTCATTTGGTTAGTTTTTTTTATGGATTAAGGAAATATCTCGAATTCTCCTTGAATCAAGTTTGCGTGTGTGAATAGCATAATTTGTAGACGCAGTTCACAGTCGATAATTTTTTTTTTCCATAATCCTTTTTTTAAAGTATATTGATTTTATTATGTTAGTAGAAAAAGTTATTATTTGATTATTTAGATGTTTTCGAATATATTATGCAATATAAAAAAATATATTTTAATGCATGAGAAAAATATTTAATACAATTAAAGTATTTAAAAAAAGAGTTAGTATTTAAAAAAAAAAGTTTAAATTAATAAATAAATAATTTTATAATTTATTAAAAATACATTAAAAAATTTTAAAATATTGATTCCACAAAATGGTAGAAAATAAATAAATAATAAGTAAATAAATAAATGAGATTATAAAAATAAAATAATTTTATTTACAAACGAAGGGGGTGAAAAATTAGTTTAGGCAGTAAAACCTGGGAGTGTAAATAGCAGGGCCTTAAATCCAAATATTGGATTTAGGCTCACTTGCGTAGGGGCGTGGATTTGAATGTGCTAAGTAATCTGGGGGTGCAGGACCTAAGGGCCCAAGTCCGGATGTTTGATTTGGCCAATTATGTCGGGGGTGTTTTTTTTAGTCAGACTAGTAAAAATAAAAACCAGGGCGTGGTTAGCAATTGGGCCTGAATGTTGAACGTTTGGATCATGTAACGACGAGTATATGGTGTTATCGTGTGTGATACGGTGAGAGAACTGACTTGAGGTTTTGCATTTCGTCGCAAATGTTTCAGTTTAGCAAGAGTCGCCACCGACTTTTATTTGATCCAAAAGAAAAGGTAAAAAAGCACAGAAAAGACCTTTGAGATGTTTTCTTGAGTTCAGAGGGTATATTATGAAAAGGGAAGGTGCTAGCACCCTTTTCATCCATGGTTTTCCATGGGCTCTTAGTTACTTGTTTAGATCACTTGCTTTGCTTTTCCAATTGTTTGAAATGGTGCTTTGTGTGGTTTTGAAAGTATTTTGAAAAGAGGTCATCGTTTAGGCAATCTTTTTAATGATTCTCGTTCGTAAGAATGTATACAAAGATGTTTGTCTTTTGAAAAAATGTTTCAATGTTTTGAAAGTTATTTGGAAATATTTTTGAAATGTGTGTGTGTTTGTTTGAAAATAGCAAGGATTATTTTGAAGTTGATCAAGTAACTAGAAGCATTCTACCTACTCAAAAGTCTTTCTTGTACATTTTTATTCCTTTGACATTGTTGATTTACCATTGCTTTGGTAAACAACCCTATCTTTGAATGTTAAACGGGACGGACGTGGGTCATCGTATGACCATGATAGCAATATTGCCAAGTATCTTTAGCATTTTGAGGGACTAAGATCTTTTATTTTAGGCAACCTTTTGATAGCGTCATCGAGGGACTATGATCTTTTATTTGTTTTGTTTTTTCCAAGATACTTTGCATGAATACCATGACCATTTGTTTAGGCAACCAAGTGGGTGAAACCCTAGGGGTGCTTGTGTGCAATGTGTTGTCATTTTACATGCATTTGTTTGTCTTGTATTAGGTCATGCTATTTGTTTGATTTTTGTCTTATCATACAAACCCTAATTTTACTACACATGTATATAATGCGGTAAATTGCGTAAAGTAAATCTAAGCTATTACAACAATTATTATGGGAGGGGGATACAAATTTTGAATGGGGGATATTGCTCAAAATAAAACCCTAAAAATTATTACAACCCAATTGAATTCTTATACTATAAATAAATAAATAATTATTTAAATATGCAATAAAATGTATGGATGCAAAAATGTTTTTTTTTTGTATTTATTTTATATATGTAAAAATAAAATTATTTAAGTCCTAAAAATAAGAAAAATAATATTGTTATTTTTGAAAGGGGAAACCCTAATTTTTATTTAAAAGAAATATATGTTCTATATCATTTATTTTATTCATTTTTGTACAAGAAATAAATAAATAAAAATATTTACAAATATTAAAAATTAAAATATATGTGGAAATAATGTTTTATGTGTATGAATAATAAAAATAAAATGTATGATATTTTTAAATATATTTACTATTTATTTAAGAAAATAAAGTTCTATTTATTTGAATAATCAATATTTTATGCAAAAAATAAGATAAAAAATAAAATAAAATGCAATAAATTAAGAAAATAATTTTGGGATTTTTTAATGTTCAGAAAAAAATAATAAAGTCAATAAACATTAAAAATATGAGAAAATATGCAAAAAATATAAAAATATGCAAAGGGGGGTGCAAATAGTAAATTGGGGGTATAGGAAGTAAAACAAGAGGCCCAAAGGCGCCTAGGCCCAGAACATCATCTTCATCCCTGTCCTTGGCTTCCTGCGCGCGTTTCTGAGTTCAAACTGTAACTTGCTCTAGCTTGCATAAAATCAAAAACTCATAACACAAAAAATGTAGCTTATGATCTCACGATTCAAGTGATATAAAGTTTGTAAACTAACTCTCAAAGATCAGAGAGAATTTAATCACCCCTAATTTCTGACCTAATTTTTTCATGAACTTCAAGCTTCAAATTCTCACTACTCAGTTAATATAAATAACAACTATGCATATGTACAACTTCAGCAAGTTAAGGACTACATCTCTGCTTCACAAATCAAAGCTTAAGGATTCCTAAATAGAGAGATAGAACTTTGAAAAATACCTTGTTCAGCTGAGTTTGAATATGGCAATGTGGGGACTTTGAGTGAGGCCTGAGGATCGTGTGAGCTTCCTTGAAGTTCCCTCAAGCTATTCCAATGCTTAGCTTGCCTTGAGAATGCTTGAAACTCCCTGCACGAGTCAACCTGCAACCTTCCAAAATGAAAATGGTGATGTCTGAAATAGAGGTTACAGCAACAGGACAAGGGCTTGGGTGGTTTATGTAGGATGTATGTAAAGTGTTTGGAGTCTTGAGACAAGAAACGCACGAGCCAAAATGATGTTGGCTTGAGTTTTACAGAAGCTGCCCTTTTTGGGCAGAAAAATGTGTTTTCTATGTTTGGGAAGGTTTCAAATGCTATGGATTCGTGTATTGGCTTGTGACAAGTTTCTGAAGTTTTTTAGAATGAAGCCAAGTCTTCTCTTTATCAGATGCACAAGTTCTCTTGACTTTTGCCAATTTGCTTGCTTTTGAAGAAAGTTGAAATGACTTATGCCAAAGGCCTATACAGGCTTGCTTGCTAGCTGCATAGAGTTGGTACAAGTTGCTTGTTATCTGTGGAAAATGCCTGCATCCAAGGAACAAGTCCAAGGCTCAAGGCTGATAAAGTGGAAAAGGCTTGCTTTATCAAAATGGTATTGTGAACTTTATGCCATTTATGGATTAATCTTTTGTACAATGCTCCAAAGATCAAAATAAAGCCATTATCCATTGATTTAGCATTAAATTATGGAGTGTAGAA